ACCTGGGATTTCATAGAAACCCCCATTGTGGTTTGCCCCAAACATGTAGTCTAATTCCCCTCCCGGCCATATTCAGCTTTAGTCCCGGAAACCCCTCTCCCGCTTTACCGCACCCTCTCCCGGCCCGCTTGGAGTCGCAGGGGGACGACAATGCCGCGCCACCTTATGCATTGCTATCCTCCTATCGTAGATCACTTCCGCCACTAGCATTTGCTCCCGCTCAGGCTCTTCTCTTTATCTCCTTCCCTCCCCCTCTGTTTTTATTAATTTTTAATAGTTAGTTTACATACTAGTTCCAGACCTTTAGGAAATGGTACTGTATTGAGAGTGTATGGTAATACACTATACTTGTTTTCAGAGCGAAGAATAGGAAGAAAGGAAGAACGCTACGCGGGCTTACGCTGTGAGGTTGGTAGAACATAGTCTACATGGTACACAAATGCTGACTGTACTGTGCAGGTAGGAGCGTGTGTAAAGGGCTTGCACGTGTATCTCGCGCTAGGCTGCCGTAGGTCACGCGGTAGAGAGTATTCGAGGCTTCGGGATATGCACAAGTACCACTTGGATAAGGAATTCGGGGAGAACACCGTATCCTGTGTCGGAGCTTTAATGAGGATGAAATCATGAGGATGAAATCCAAACTTGCACTCACGATCTCATAGTACGGCAATCAATTAAACTAGTTCTGTACACCACAGTAAGCTATACCTCCTTCCAAAAACCATGTACAGTGCGACATTTGCACAACACCTCCCCCTTCACCGCCCCCGGCGTATACCAATATAAGACAAACATCCCCTTCCAACTTCGTCAATTCTTCAAACATGAACATCGTCAGAAATCATAACCCCCGAGTGACCTCCCGTGACCACAAGTTTCCCCTCCAGTATCCCGCTGGAAAGAGTCCGCTACATGCTGCAGGCTGTCGAGTCGGGCCCATATCTTGTGAAGGCATACTGTAGCATTCACCCGCCCTCGGCGCGCTCATGGCCATGCGGCTTCCTTCCGGTAAATCATCTGGCATGCGCGCCATCATAGACAAGATATAAAAGAAAAAGGAAAGAAAAAAGAATACCGCCATGTGCCTTCCCCACGCAATGGGAGAACAGAGAAGAAAGTAGTCTCCCTAGTAGAAAAAGGAAAGGAAGGGGGAAAACAGAGCAAACCATCCCAAACTAAGATAATGTCAAGACTCCGCCCAAGATCTCGGTCCCCCCGTACCACCCTCTCTACGCTTCCCCTCAATCCCGCTATCCCTTTGAAAATCTAAAGTACAAGAGAAAAAATAACAAATACATCAAGTAACAGAAGAGATAGTGGAGTGACAAGGAGAGAATTTACCAGGCAATTCAGCAAATCACGCAACTGCCTCTGCCCCTCCTTCTCCCAATAAATTCATCCCCGCCATCCCACAGAGCTTGTCTTCTCCTTCTACGCCGCCCGAGGGTAGTATCTTCGCTCAACATCATGTGCTCGGCCCATTTGCACTCGAGCCTGTTTGCGCTATCTCGATCGCCTCTGAGAACCCTCTTCATGTGTTCGTCGACCGTCTGCTGCCACCCATAAAAGCACTTCAACTGAATCAATTCCGGTTTAAAGGTACTGAGCGTAGAATCGGCATTGCGGGCGAGGATGTCGCGGACACCAGGCCAGGTTATGCTTGCGCAATCGTAGACTACGAGCCTAAGAGCAACACGAGGGGAGCAAGACCCTGGAACTGGTGGAGAATTGGGAGGTGAGAGGCGATGTCGAACGGCATGTGCTGCCTCGCAGAGCACGAGATCCGACACCCGAGCTATGTGATTCCAAAATTAGCCTCCAACTCTCCACAAAAATAGCCTGGGCGAGTTACTGTTGTCCATTTCCAGATTCCTCAACCCGGGGCATTTACGGATGATCTCGGTCATCCCCTGGTCACCCATATTCTCGCAATAACTGCATTGCAAATGCTCCAGTTTCTTTGCCGCCGGACCCCGGGCCAAAGCCAACAAAGTTGCGTTCGTTAACTCCGAGCACTCCTCCAAGTCCAAATGTGTCAACTTTCCCACGGTGGGAATGAGTGCAGCGAATCCCGAATCGGTCAAGGAAACACAACCTCCCAATTGTAATGCTTCCAAATCGGGTACACTGCCAGCCAGGCTCCGCAATGCCTGGTCCGTCAGGTTGGAACATTTACTGAGATCCAGGTCGACAAGCCTTCTTGGCGGGGCCTTCGGTCTGTTCGTGAAGAGGTCCACTTCGGGGTCCACTCCTTCAACCATGACTGCAATCGCCGCATCATCAATACTCGCGCATGCACCAAGGTGAAGAACTTCGAGCTTGTTGGACTTGAAGATAGTCTGCATTGGGCCAGGTTCATTGAACCTAGTAATTTCGCAGGCCCTCAACTCTCGCAAGTTCCCACACTCTTCAATGATTTTCCTGATACCTCTTGCATCCATGCTAGAACACCAGGATACATTTAGGCTCTCTAATAAGGGGCAAGACTTTGAGATGAGTCTGCATGTACGATTGCTAGCGGTTTTGAGTCCGGAAATATTGAGCTGAGCCAACCGGGGGTTGCGCGAGATGATGGAGTGAACGGTTATTTGTTCAAACTTGCAACCTTCTAGAGATGCCGTGAGAAGGTTCCGACATGCGTTGGCCGCCGCCTCCAGTCTCCAGTCGTTCTGCAATTGGACACACCCTCTGTTCCGAAGTTAGCGCTATACAGGCATCTTGACTTGGGACAGCAGCTAAGGCGGAATTTACCGAAGGTTCAGGTTCCTCACGAAAGGGCCCGAATCTGTAATAATCTTCGAAAGCTGATCCACAGGGATCTTGTTATAATATCCCGTAGCATCCAAGTTACTCCATAGTTGCCCATCGAAACATAATGAATGCCATTTCCTGCTGACCTATATTGCCGACCCACATAATCTGCGCTTAGTCACTTGAACCTCCTGATTTCAAAATAAGGAAAAGGCTGGACAACAGACAAAGCAAACGTCACAAACAAGACAGCGGGTACTAACCGCCGAGCAGCGCACAAGCTCTTTAGGTTCCAAACAGCTGAGTATCTGAACCTGCACCTCCCCGGGAAGGCAATCCCACATATCGGCATGCACAGGTTTCCTCCTTACCGAATTAGGAATCCCAACACACGAGTTCCCGCCTTGGTGCGGCTTATCCAACGTCTCCGCAACCCGGAATCCGAGCGGGCGTTCCGGTGCGGGAGTCATGGGGCGTGTCAGGTAGAGGGAGATACACGAGACGGAACGATCCTTTAAATACTGGTCCCTAACGGGTGACGGTGGCTCCGGATTAAGCTTTGACAGCTGCGGGGAAGATGAATTGCGGGTAATGCGAGCGAGGAATCTCTGGCGACGAGAAGTGCGCGGTGCTTTAGTAAGACGAGTTTCCATAGCTTGGTCATTCACCAGGACCATTTTTAGAGCGGTGGAAGGGGTAGGGACAGTTATAACTAGGCGGGGGGAATATGAGCAAGAGGGGTAAAAGGAAAACCAGATGACAATCCGGAGAGGTGGAGCTACCCTAAGATTTCCTTGAAACCTAAGGACAGCGTCAACATCGGGCGTCTGAGTAGCTAGAAATGTGTCGAACCTTTAGGAACGTCTTGGAGAAGGTTTCCGGAAGGGTTTCGTCGAGATACTTCGACCAAGGCTCGAAAACGGACAACAAACTATAAACAGTGACCTCACAAGAGGCAGAAAATATATATATATATCTAAAAAGAAAGCGCCTCCGTTCGCGGGTTCCAGTATCTATGCAACAAGGTAGGGCAAAGCTATTGGGACGCGGCTCAACCCGAGGGGCAGATTCCTTGTCCCGAAAGATGCAAAGGGGTCTATCGACAAAGACAACAAGAAAGTAGAGGGAGAGAGGTTTAAGAGGACAGGACGAGGGGGAAAATAGGGTAGATAGGGTGGGAGAAGATTGAAAGGGAAAAAATAGGAAGAGCCGGATCTTTCAAAGGGGATGGTTTTGTTTTGTTTAGTGGGCCATATGATGGGACCAAACAAGCGGCATGCAAGTCAGCAGAGCACCGCGTGGTAAATGGGGAGAAAATATGTTTCGAGATTTCTGCCGGTAGCGGGGGGGGGGTCTTAGCAAGCCACAAGAAAGAAAAAGGCTAAGTTATGGTTAGGCCCTGGTGATGTTGGATTTCTGTGAGCACGAGCGAAAGATGTGGTGCCAGTGGTTGGGTTGGTGTTTATGGTGGGGCAAAGAGTGGAACGGACTGGTCCTGTGCCCGTGCCCCCGATTTCCACATCCAGCCAGCCAGCCCAGAGAGATGGATTCCCATTACTCGTGCACCGCCTTCCTGGGCATTTGAGATACAGTAAGTAATTGGGTAAAACACACCTATGGAGCATCTGGCTTCTCCTCCCAATCTTCCTCACAACCCAACCCGTCGAGTAAGCAAGCAGAGCGAGTAATTCTTCCATCATAACTAGGCTTTCTTTTTTTCTTCTTTCTTTCTTACAAGTACTTTCCTTCTCACTTTCCCACCCACTATTCCCGAGTCTTGACCCCACCGACAGAACAGTGAGGGGTTATATATACCACTACAGCGCCTTCGGGCTAGACTCCTCAAGTTCTATTATAAGTTTAACATTCCCCCCGCGTCGAGATTCCCGGCCTAGCGCAAAGGGCAGCTTGTCGATAGGCTAAGAACGGGTGGTCTGGTGAGCAGTGGAAAAGGGGAGAAATAACATCAACCCTCGGTGACTGGGGATAAATGCAGGGTCTGGCTTGGGCGCCAAACCATGATGAGCAGCAGAACACTCGGAGCCTGGGTAAGAGTACCAGTATCGTACTTGTATACAAGTACTGTACTCGTAGAGAGCACGGCACTGTACAGGTACACGGTACTTTGTTCTGCACTTGTACCATACAAGCAAGGACAAGGACAGAACTGTTTTGAGTGAGGGAGTGACATGCGAGAAAAAATGTCGTGACTTCACCGTCAGTAGCTCCCCCCCCTTTTTCTTTCGGCGAGGGGGAAGAATTGCGTGACCCAAAAATGTGATTTTTAGGGAGAATGGATCAAAGGGAGCTTCCTCCTCATTCCTTTTTGGTGGCCCGATTTGGCGGGCCCAAAAAAAGCTGGGACACACCACCACCACCAACCATCATCATCATCATTAAGATCATCATCACTTTTGTGCCCTTCCCTCCTCGTGAGCCTCAACCCTGTCAGCTGCAGTGCTGCATATCCGTTTGAAGGCACGCGCATCCCGCGCACACTCAACAAAATAATAATAAAATTTAATTGGGCAATAATAATTATTATTATTATCATAATACTTGTAATAATAACCATAATAAAAATACGGTACTTGTACATGCACTTATACTAGTACGTACTCAAGCACAATAATCAGTTACCCGTGCTCTCTAGAGTAATATCCTTTTTAGGCTATGATTTACCTATCGGTGTTCACCCGATATGATATTCTGGAAAATACGGATACCTGTATCGCGCTCGAGCACGGTACTGTACTTGTACATCGCGGCGGCCACTTTGCCCAATCCTTTGAAATGTCAATCGTCAATCGTCAATCTCACCAGGAGTTGGTGAACCTCTGACCCAATGTGTGGACGAGAATTTAAACCCTAACCCTCCACTTGTATGTAGTGTTCCATCAGCGTCTTCTGGGCATCTCCGCTCCATTTACCCCCCCCTCCCCCACCACCACCGCCCCTCCAACGAAATGTGTCGAAAACGATGAAACCATTCCGCTCTTCCCCTGTACCTGCTGTCGATAAGTCGGCTATCGCGCTCATTCGCCGCGTTCTCTGCTATCACGCCCCCCCCTTTACACCCCTCGAACAACTCTTGCCAGCCTTGACCTCTTCCCCGGAGGTTGACCTGGAGCTTTACGCCTTTCTTGCTATCATTTTTAGGGACTTCATCTACTCTTGGTATTCTAAAATCACCACCGATAATGCCTTTGCGGATGAGATTATTGCCGTGGTGGCCCATTGTTCGAGGGCTATTGAGGAGCGGGTCCGAGAGGTATTGTGAATCAACCATTTGTCTCTCCTGACTCCAAAGGCTGACGCTGAAGGGAGGGCCTGAAAGGTTGACCTGGAAGCCCTTTTTCTGGATGAAATCCCTTCCTTTATAGAAAATCATGTTCAAGGTGAGCCCTACCTCAATTGCTCTCCGCCTGCTGCACCCTCTAACAAACCGCAGATTATCGTTTAGCTCTCTCGCGTCATAGCACGCCACTATCTCCGCACCTTGCCGTGCGCGAGATATTCCACAATTTTCAGCCTCATCCTGCCCTTTCATCCTCACCGGACAGCGAGAAACTTTACCTGAAGCTTGTATCCTCGGGAATCTTGGCCGTCCTCCTGCCTACCGAGGACCTCGAATCCGATTGCGAGAGATCACTAGTGAGAGAAGTATTATCCGAAATGGTATTATGGAATGTGGTGGACCGGCTCAGCGAGCCCCATATTATTCATGAGATAATCACAAATACCCTGGAGCTTTTGCGTACTCCGATGAACCCTCTCAGTGCTCCAGAACCACCACCGGAAAATGAGAGGAAGCCGCCAGTAACGCACACGCGAAGAAAGAGGAGCTATAGTGAAAAGATACCACCGATACCACTTCCACATGAACCTAACGGCTCAGTAAAAAACAAAATTTTTCAGGCCCCAGAAGTACTTGCACCACCCCCAGCAAACTATAAGCTGATCCGCATACACCCCGTTATGGATACCCTTCTTACTATCGCTTTCAAAGTGCTCTCCCTGCTGCGCACTTATCTCTCCTCCTTTATCACCAACCTACATTCACCTCCGCCCCCTCCCCCTCGGCCCAAGAAGCCTCTTCTCCGCATGTCCCTCTTTCGCTTAATACCTTCTTACCTACATCTCCCCACGCTCCAGCCTTGGACACTCAGTAGCCTCCTATTTCTCACCAAACCTTTCACATCCCGCTCAACCCGTCTTGGCCTCACCCTCGACAACCTTCTATCCTCTTCCTTCCACTCATACATCGAGTCGCCCAAATTACTCGTAAAAATTCTCTGTTCCGCCAGATCAACCTTGTTCCCAGCCTCGCCTGAGCCGGTCCGCCGAACCCACCCAACACCAAAAGAAAAGGCGCGCATAAAATATACAGCAGAGGAGGCGATATGGGAAGCTACCCCTTCATCGATACGAAAGGTTTATTTCGGGACAGACGATAAGGAGGAGGGTCTGCCAGTAGTGGGCGAAATGCTGCTGAAGACGGTGCAGGACAAGGAGGTTAATAAGCATCTATTGTATAACCTGTTGGACTTGACTGTCGGTAAGCTAATACCAGAGTTGACGGAAGAGGGGCCCGCAGAATTGCGGCGGAGTAGGGTGGGCGTTGTAGATCGGTAGTGGTTCTATTGTTCCTCAAATGCACGTGATTATGGATAGGGTAGTTGGCGAGACGTATTGTTATGATAGTGGATTATTCCGGTGTATAGAGAGGGCTGCTGATTGTTTTTCCTACTTGCCTACTTGCCCGAGTGGCTAAAAGGCATACTTTTCGCAATATACATACCCAATCTAATCATATATTATCACTCGCGTTTCAGCCGCAGTCTCCGTTTCCCGAGTGCCCTCCGTGTTGAGTTTACTTACCATACATGTTTGGCGTCATGGTTGTTTTTCAAACAGTGGGCCGTGATTGAGGGGGGTTTAAACGATGGCATGTGATCACAATAATCCACCCCTGAAGGAACCTAAACAAAGGACTAGACTAAATTTAAGCAGTGAGAGCAAAATCACTGTGCGCCAAGCGCAACCAAACGTGGGAGGATTGTCGACCAATGGAGATGCTGGATGAGGACAGACCAGGAAACATATTCCCCCCCACAACTAACAACTCCTGGATAGACACGTGATCCAGAGCGATCATGATCCCCCGTGATCCTACAACAATCCGGAGCCATCCTAGCCTTTAACCTATGCCCAATGCCAACTGGAATCCAGGTACTGCACCATCATAGACTATGCCAAGAACGGAGTGCGAAGGACAAACGGTACCACGTACAGTACCTGATACCTAATGCCTCGGTGGTAATGGGTAGAGGCAAAGCAAAGACTGCAATTATCTTGATATCTCCTAGTCCGGAAAGGCAATTGAAAGTGCTGTTGTGTCCCTGTTAGACTACTCTCTTAAAGATTGCTCATACATGATTAGTCAGGAATGTTGTACCTGAGTGTCTGTGAAAATTAGGGGCTAGCACTTTAAGAGTTGGCACAGCAAGGGATCAGAGGAATTGGGAAAACACTTAGGATTGACCAGGAAAGTTCAAGCATGTATGATATGGTCTCCAAGGTTTTCAAAAAGTGTACCAGGTAGAATTTAGAATGTCATCAATACAATTACTGCTTCTGAATTGCCATGAGATTTGATAAGTAATATGTTACAATAGAGAGATTATAATGAGAACAAACTTTGCATTAAATACTTGGGATTTCCACAAGCTGATCTAGTCAATAAATAAAATAAAAAATTAATTCTATCATGACATTGTATTAAATTTTTTAGAATCACCTGATACTCCTCTTTCAATCTTACTAAAGCCTCCCTCTAAGACTATTATAAATACTCTCTCTGCATGTTTAGCTGTAAAAATTATATTTTCTTCCCAGATTAATAGAAATATACTTTTTATTAACTTCTCATATCCTCTTAAACTACCTCAATAATCATAATACAAATTTCAATTCAATATTAGCATCCTATAGCTGTTTGATACTCTTCTACTAATATACAAAAATCTCACAAAAATCTCCTTCTTTTCTACTTTTCTATTAAAACTATATCATAGGATGTCTCTTCACCTACTACTCCAGTGTATAAATACCTATAGATCAGCTCTATCATGTTTACTTTCCCTCAACCTTATTAAACCTTCTTCAAAACACAAACTAAAAGCTACATCTGCTATACAGTTATTTTACACTACTCTATTATTACTTTTATCAACAATCACAATGCCTTCTAAGCCTGTTAAACCCACTGATGATGTCCAGCTGTGCCTTGCCTGTCAGAGCACCTTTGTTAAGAAGCCAGAAGAACTTTGTGCTTCTTGTAAGTTCTTTTAATTTTTTTTTTTTCAGTTTGATATATTTAATAGAATCATGATTAATTTAAATGCATAGGTGAATTGAGTCCTTACATTCCACCTGCTGGATATGGAGGTAGGGGAAAGAAAAAGAAGGACTAAACTGATGGAGAGAATGTGTGAGGAGAGGGAGGGAGTGTAGAGAGATTGAGAGACTGAGAGGTAGAGGTGCTGGAGGGGGGGGGGAATCTATACAGTAGTCTGAAATGTTTCTGAGAAACATATCCTTCTACTATATATCAACTTATGTTATTAAATCTCCACTCATCAAATTTATTACTTGCCAATCTTGTTAACTCTGGATGGCAGCTTCTACATTATATTATATGAAGGCTCTTTGCATGCATTTAAATCATAAGTACTAACCCTGCCTAGTACAACCCCTTCAAAAGAAACATGTCCCACAATTATGATAGTAATATGATAATAATATGATAGAGCAATCCACCCCTCCTCCCCCCCTACCCTATGATACCTAAATGAAGACCACCGCTCCCCCCATAATACATACCAGCATACCAATCAATCCAATAAATCATGTATCATACAAACTCCCACCCTCAAAAAATTCCCTGTACCATAGCACTCAGCATTGTACAATGCGCACAAGACCGGTATCCGGACGACAAAAAGCATACAGATTCCCAGACAAGGATATCGTGAACAAGTCCCACGCACCCATTACATCACACTTCAAATCCGTAGAAAGTTGTGATATCAAGACAGTTCTCCTTCCCAATCTCCCCACGAACTCACAGAAATTCTGCCCTGAAAAGTAAAGCACTTCCAACACACCACCAAAGACCCGGGATAACCATCAAACTCAACCAGCATAGGAATATCATATTATTGGACTTCTAAGGCAGCGGCACTCATCCATCCCAAAACTCCGCCAATAATAATAAACCGAACCCGAGCAGCAAAAGAAAAAACACATCGGTAACCAACCTTCCCCCCCCCCCACACCCACTCACTATACAGTACGGTATGATATCACGAGCACACCCAACTAGCTCTTCCCTACAAAAATCGTAATCACAACATCTCACTCGCACCCGCACAGCTCGTTCTTCACACCAATCCCATCGTCGGTGATTTCAATTCCACCCAGCACTCACGTATAGCCGGTGATGGCAATGCATCCACATGGGTAGGTGCTGTACTGTGCAGGTGAATAAGGCGAATCACACCGGGGCACCCGTTCAGTACTGTGGTTGTAGAAGGTGGGTAGGTACGTTTGGACCATTTGGGCCATAGCTTTACCATGAAGGAGTATTGCCGTGGGATGATAGACTCGGGGAGTGGAAGCCTATTTCATTGCTCGTTTTCCCCCAAAATTGTGGAAGAGATGGAGAAGAAAAACCAAGTGCAAGTTCGGGTTTTTCTCGTTTTCAGCTGTCTGCACATCTTGTACTTGACCATCCATAAAGTATTCGGATACCTTGGCGCCAACATTCCATGTTTAGGTGCCGGTTGGTATACCTTGGCACCAAAGCATCCGAGTATCATACTTGATGAATGGTCAAGTCACTTGACCGACTGCCGCTACTTTGCTTATTTTCGTTTACTTTTGCTCTTATTTCCCGCTATTTCTGGTATTTCCCGCATTTCCTGCTTTACATCCCTTCTCATTCGCCCTACTAAATTGTTCTGCTATGGGCATATAACGAATAATTGGAAAGATCAGAGCAAGTAGAAAAATATTTTGAAGAAACGTAAAAAAAGTGACTATAATTGTCCTATCCTATCCCACCTTGCCTTGCTCCCCCGCCCGCCCCCCTCCCATCCATCCCTTTGATCCCTCCTCTCGAAGGCAACCCCCCTTCCAGGAGGTCAAATATTGGGGAAGGAAAGAAGCATCTATAACATGTACAAGAATCCGAAGTTGGTAATCCCAAAAAAAAGTAAAAAAGTAAAGAAAACGGAACTAAAAAATTAATAACCAAAAAAGGATATAATAGTAGCCAGCCATTAATCCATGGCAGTAACAGACAGCCTAAACTTTGAGAAATGAGATAAAATGATAAAACACCACGACCACCAGAACCCCTAAAAAATGGATCGGGCTTTGAATCCGGGCCGAAAGAAGATAAATAATTAACAGAGGACGGGCGAGCAGTCCACAGTTAGTAGTAGTAGTAGTCGCAGTGAATGTAGGAAAAGCTGAGTAGAGTCCGATAGGTGTGGAGAGAAAATGAGGGAAATGCGGGAACAGAAGGAAAGGGGTGAGGGACGCTATGATAGGGTTCTCATTAACGCAACATCATGACGCAAGGGGGCTGACGAGGAAAGCAAATGGAAAATGGCCGGGACAAAGGAGATAAAGATAAAAAAAAGATATAAGAAAGAGCAACAAACAACATCCCTCTTCTTTGCTTTCCTCACCTGACTCATGAGGAAAAACAAACGCAATAGGAAATATGTGGGGTATTCCAAATAAAAAAGCAAAAACACAAAAACACCGTGATATGATCCCTAAAAATACCCTTTCCAAATTAAGAAAAGAGGAATGTAGACCAAAGAAAAAACTAACATAAAATAAAAACTTTTTCTCTTCCCTCACTAGTCACCACCCAAATCAAGGCGGTGCGCTCATTTCTTCGTTGGATTCCATATTGTCTAACCCAAGTCTAGCTAGTATCTTTCCTACAACAAGATAATCATCGTGTTCGACATATCCCACTGGTTGCTGTCTGAGATAGGTCATAACCACCTCAAGTGCGCGGCACGCATCTTCCTTGGTGGGTGATTGCGATGTCTGTGCTGTCAGGGTCCCATGAGACGAAGACGGGGTATGGTTCGGCGATGCCAATGGGTTGGGCACGTCAGGGGCAGGGGATGCGAGTGCCGGCGGGGGTACCACAGTCTGGTTTAACATCTTAGGGGTCAACGGCTCTGACGATGGTGGTGGGGATATGTAGGTCGGGTCAACAGATAGGGTGGGAAATGTCTGTGATCTTGGGCGCTGTTGCAGGTGCGGCATCCGTGCCTGCAGAGGGTCGACCCGCTGATCTGGCGAGAAGAATGGGGAGGTCGGAGAAGCTGGGCCTGCGTAATTAGAAACTGCGATGTTAGTTGGATACCCACTATGGACGCAAAGCAGAACAAACCCGAGACTTGTTGTTTATTGAACCCCCCAAACTCCATAAATGATTCCGGCGAATCTGTACCATTATGACTGCTATCCTGGCTCTTGGATTCTTGCATCATAGGCGACCCTAATACTGGTGTTGAATCCGTTCTAGAGTGGCCTGGCTTTGGTGACATCAACCCTCCGCTCGCCATCCTAGCCACACCAGTCACATCGCTTTCCGATCTTCCTCGCCCATTCGAGTGAAGGTTGTTCTTCTGCTTGAACTTCTCCAACCAACCCTGGCCATTTGCCTTGAACTGACTGTCCGATATCCCTACGCTGGTCGCGAAAAATTTGGCTTTTTCTCGAATCATCATATCGGTCAAGGCAACCCCCTGCTTCCGCGTGTTCTTCGCCCAAACGGCCAATGCGCGCTCAATGTCCGGGAATTTCCCCTTTGAGCGTTTCACTGGTGACCTACTCCCATCATCGGGAAAAAGATACTTTTCCTTCTGCCGAAGAACTTTGGAAACGGTACTGTGACAAAAAAAAAATTAGCTTCAATCCTCAAGCATGTATTTCGCGTTTTGCTGCTTACCTTCTCTCGACACCAAACATTGCTGTAAACAAAATAGAGAAAAAAGCAAAAAAAGTCAGCCCACCAATCACGAAAAACAAATCAAAATAAACCCCTTATGGGCGAAAGGAGAAGATATCGCCACCATACCTCCAATTTCTGTTTGCTTCACGTTTGGATTCTCCTCGTGAAAAATGCACATTCTCCTCCTATCAGCATCTGTCAAAGTCCTCCTCGGGCTAGAGGTGGACTGAGTCGAATGGCTGGCCTGGGTCACGGTCAATGCTCCCAATGTCGGCTGGTTTGGAGCAGCAATTGCTGGAGGCGGAATGAATTGAGGGTGTGGAGAAGCGACCCCAGACGGCTGTGGAGGAATCATCGTCTGGCCCCAATGCGGGAGACCGAGATAGTTGGGAGCTATCGGTACTGGCTGCTGGTGTTGCTGCATCCTAAACTGCTGCTGGTGGTGGTCTTGGGGTGCGAACCCGGGTGATTCGACGAGACCGTAGGTAGAAAAGTCATGGTGAGGGTGCCCACCGTTCTGTGCATGATGCTGCGTCTGTTGGTGGTAGTGGTGATGGTGTTGTTGCTGTTGCTGGTGGTGTAAAGTCCCAATCTCAACCCATTGCTGGTTGACAAAGTCGTCATGCGGGTTATGCACGTCTTCCATTGCATATGAGAAGAGCTGCGTACGAACCAGCAGACAGGCTGACGAACAGGACAGACGGCAAGCAGCCAGACAGGCGTGTGGACGATACAAGAACAGACAGCAGGCAACGGGGAGTTTTGGAATCGGAGGGAAGCGGGCGGAGGAATATGGAGATCCCGTGCCCAGCTAAACCTAACAGTCAGGATTGCACTAGTAGTAGTAGTAGTAGTAGTAGACCGGCGGAATAGAGCACCTGCCTTGAATTGGTGGCGTGGCTGTGGAGGCGGTTAGTAATGTTATTATGATTATAACTCTCACTCTCGGTTTTCCTGCCCCGATTTTTTTTTTTTTTTTTTGTTTCTTGGGATCCCCTTTGCCTTCAAACCTCTCTCCTGCCTCGTGCTTTGCGATTGGGAGAGATTTGTTTTTTGTTCGCCCCGAGAAACCCTCCACTCCGAAAATAAAGTGCGCGTGCGCGGTGTAAGGAACGGGGATAATCTCAGGACGCTCCCTCTTTAGTCCTACCCAGGCAACCTTGACATGCAACCAACCGTAGTCATGCAATTAAGCCTCAGGAACACACCTCTCTCACTCTAGTCCCCTGACCAGCGGTAGAAAGAGAGAAAAAGTAGCACCGTACCGTACCGCACGCGAAATCTACTCTCGAAAAATCCCCCGGAAACTCGCGGAGGAATTGAGGAAGAGGATAGTGATGGGGAAGGTGCAAAGGAGAAAGAGGATACCTAGATTGTGCGATACCGGTAATGACAAAAAACTAATGGAACGGCAATGAATTTCGAAGGAATAGAAGGAAATGGGGCAGACCAGGATAAGAGACAAGGGTGGTGAGAGGCAGGGAAACTCACGGACAAACAATCTTTTTGCTACTCTCAAGCACCGTTTCTTTTTTTTCTCAAGCTCCTTCCCAAGGCCGATTTCTTCCTAATTCAAGTCGAAATAAATCTTTGCGGGTTTGGATCTGTTGAACGGCTTTTTCCCCTACAGACAGGAGAGAACACTCATTCTGGGGCGTTTCACTGATTGTGGAGAGAACTCAGGCCACGGCGGCCATGGCCGGCGTGAGACAAAAAAGAAACGAGGAAGAATCGATGATGGCACAACCCCGGGGATCGCGGAACCACTAGAATCGGCCGGGATGCTTTGGAACAGGGTAGCGGAATAGCACAGCACAAACCCGCAAAAACGAAGGGGAAGGGAAAAAAAGGGGAGAAAGAAATGAGAGAAACAGATCGGAAGGAAAAAAAGATATTATTCTTAGAGAGAAGTTGAAAAAGATCACCAGCTCTCCCCTGGAAAGTTAATTCTGGTGCAGTGGTCGGTCGGAGCTTCTTTTTATCTAAAGAGCTCTATTTTTCTTTCTTTTGCGAAAATTGTTTTTCTGTGTTATTATTATACGAAGCAGTCCTCCAACTCATGTGTTAATTGACCCTATTTTTTAATACCTTTTTATCGCGACAAGGGGAAGCAGGGTCAGAATTATAAAAGGGGTGAATGACGATATCTCAGGGTGCCCCAGAATAAGCGCCATCGTCTACCGTTTGTGGATAATACTCGTACTGTACAGTACACCCCAATGAGCGGCAGACGAAGAAGAAAAATTTTCCTACGACGACCTCTATTCCCTCCATCCACTCTAGAAGGCTAAGGGGAATCTTCTTATTCTTTTTTTGCCGCTTGCACGGTCCATCAATAGCCCACCTCGTGCCGTACCGGTACCGTATTGTAGGAAAGTCTGTAAATTGCAGCCTCAGATTTTGCAGTTCCAACAATACCACTTCCGACACGAGCTCGGGAGCCTCTCCCCCTGATAAAGAAAGGCTGGAAGGAGTTCGGGCGAGGGGAGACTATATGCTCAAATCCTCTAACCTCTTATTGTCAACCATTTTCATACTCGCATACCGTGGTTTGCCCAGGCTCTACCCCGGAACAGATAGTACTCGAGTAAACTATCACGGTAAAATATGACAAACAGTCTGCCTTCAAATAATCGCAATGAACACATGACACGGTGATCGAGATTATAATTCTCAGCCCGGGTGGTTTGCTTTGTTATTCACCAAATCGATAGGATGAATGTGAAGGAAAAAGGGGAAAAGATATAACAAATCATATTTTTCGGCCCTCTCTTCGCTGAGGTACAAGTACCAAGAAGTCAAAATCTCAAGAGAACCTGTCTTTTCTGGGTGTGGTGGGAAAAGGATACTATTGCTTTTTGACTGACGAAAAATCAACCAAGACAGTGCTAGCTTTTGAGCCACTGTGACGGATCATTTGCCGGTTCGCAATCTTACGTCCTTCCTCATCTATGCGCGGACTCCGAAAAAGTAACCGAAACAGGTGAGGTACAAGTACTAACCCGAGCACGTTCCAGCTTCTCCTTAGCGGGAGCGAATTTACTTCTTAACAATGGTAACCTAATAAAAGGGAGGGCGGAATCAGTGGATCTGAGAACAGAAGGGCTCTGCAAGCACGATAACCACCTACCACATCCTCATCCTCCAGAACGTGTGAAAGTCCAACCCTCTGTGGCTGATGTTTCACACTACTGCCGTAGACAATCGCAATTTTGAAAGAATCGATAATGCTTTTGTGAATTGCTTTACACTGTAAAAACCCGTCAATCTGGCGCCCATCCATCCAACAACTGGGGTAACTATATGAAGGGGGAACCAACAAAGTCTTCGACGGCACAGGCGTTAGATCTTAAAACAACAGGTTGTGTGTAGTCAGGTGTTTGGCCTTTGGGCTTTGTGTAGACTCTTCGTAAGTCAAGCTTTTCCCACCTATATGTCTTTTAGTAAGTTGGTTGTTCCTACACCACGTGGGGCGCGCGCTTCGAATTTGTTCCTCACATTAATTCTAGAAGCTCATCGACATTCCAGCCCTGCGGTTCGACAGCGTCAGCTATAAACTATGCATACAGTCGGGAACGATATTTAAGAGAGGGGCGCGGGTGTGTTAGTATGCAACTAACCCTTTCCGATGATATTGGCGCAGAATTGGGAATTCTAGTAAGCGAGCGCTAAGTAAGACACAAAGCCTTCCATGCATCGAACCTCTCATCCGCTTACCGATAAAGTAAATCAAGCTCCTCAATTGATATAGCATCAATTTTGTTGAGGGCGTAGATTACTGGAATATATCTTCGACTCTTCTCTTCGATAACATCGATTAGATCATCGACAGTCGCATCGCACCTGAAAGCGATATCTGCAGAACTTATTTTGTATCTGGAAAGGGTTAGCCACATTTCCCCCATAAACCCGACTGCAAAAATCTCAGGTAACGCATGGTAGGAGGGAATTCGCCCCGTAGCCCACAAAATTCTGGTACGGCGACGCGTAGTTGAACCGGAATCTCTTGATATTATAGGGTTCGCACTGGCTTAAATCGTAACACCATCGATTCGGGTAATAATACCGCGATGATATAGGTCCAAAAGGGGACCACAAGTGCTTTTTTTCCTTTTTCCTCATTTTTCGCAATAACGGGTTCAGGGACTTACTCTGTTGTAACCGCTCTTATTTCCTAATAGTTCACATGTATTTATTAAGTGTTTTTTATATAAAGTGGAGTAAAAATAAGAAAAGACTAACTTACCTCAGCGTCAAGATGAGTAAGTGGCACGGTGCTAGTGACACTAATGCCTCCCTTATCCTTCTTCCTAAAAACAATGTTTGGTGGCTGCTTGTTAATCCTGATACCGAACCCCTCCAGCTCTTGCTCGATGATCTTCTTATCGGTTAACGGTTTGTTGACATCCAGCACAATGAATATAAGGTTGCATTGCTTCGCTACCGCAATCACTTGACGACCTCGACCCTTTCCATCCTTTGCACCCTGAATAATTCCGGGGAGATCCAACATCTGAATTTTGGCGCCATTATACATGACACAGCCGGGAACAGTCGTAAGCTAAGTTGCTGTCAGCGGGACACAGAGAACTGGCCTCCCGAGGGGAGAAGGCAGAGCGGGGTGGACATTAACGTACGGTCGTGAATTCGTAGGCCGCTGCCTCAGAGTGGGTGCCCGTGAGCAGATTTAAGAGAGTACTCTTACCGACTGAAGGAAACCCTACAGCTTAATGAGCACTTCACCCTATGGAATACCTATAGCCAAGAGCCTAAGTATATACCAATAAACCCCCTAGGAATTATTCGTAAGCAAACATTCGAGGTTCAAACACACAGGGATGGGAGATGCGAGCTTTAAGCAGCACATACACACTGGCCACACCAGTCCTTGCGACGTCGAAGCCAACTAGAAAAGCACAGCATAATTACTAAGTGAACTCCAGGGAAATAGTGGTTAAATAGTGGCCAACTCACTCCCAGCACCCCCTCCAGAGGAGGAGGGAGTCACGAGTTCTCTTCGTAGTTTGGCGAGTTTTGCTTTCAATTGGCCCAGGTGGCTATGACATCGTGAGGTTAGCCCAACCCGTAACCAGTCGGGTAGCAATAGATGGGGGACACTCACAAAGACGTTGCCTTATTCTTTTGGGTTTTGGCTGAAAATCAGTCAATAAAACACTCCCCCCTTCCCACACTCGGGTCGCGGTGCTGGTGAACTTACCCATCTCATCTTCGATGGCCTTGATTTTCTCCACTAATCGGCTATTAGATCCTCGCCTGCCCCCAGACAGGATAGCAACCCTTACCAGTAGTACTCATTTTTCTGTTATCGCTATTTCGTCGGGCGTTGAAGTAGGTACAGAGCGGAGAGTGGTGTGGATGTCTTGGGAGACGTGTGAGAAAAAAAGATTCAGAGTGTGGCAAGCTGGACACGCGGGGAAGATGTTGATTCTGCCCCACCAATGGATTGTTGGGGCAACGACAAACGAAACTTAACAACGGAAAATGTAATTTCCCTGCTGGTAAAAGGCCCAGCACGATTCCATGCAATAGGATTGCTTATTCCTGTCCTACGGGCATTTACTTTTTATATTTCAATGTCCTCCCGGCAAACATCGGCCTTGGCCACTGTAGATGTAAAGACATGGTTGAGCCGCGTAGTTATCAGAGACGGCACCATATCCTAACACACCGTCGACCCAGCACCAGAGCACCCAGAGCACCGGCGACCCAGCGGCTTCTCAGCAGGGGGTTGGGGGGCTTCCGCCTTCAAGCTCAGAGGTCGGTCGAAGTCGCCGAGCACATGGCAATTCCTGAAGGCGTAACCCGCTGTTTTTTTTTTTTAGGGCAAGTTAAACCCCCCTCAACAACAATACGGCACTCGAGTACCAGTACCGGTATTGGATGCCATGCGCTCCACGCGCCGGATCCAAGCAAAGTGTGCTGTCAACGGTCACGGGACTCGTCCCCTGACCTGTCTTCACCATTGAACTGCCGTAGGCAAGAAAAGATGATGGATAGGATAGGGTAAACGCCCTCGATAACCGTCCGTGTCGTACAGTGATGCGCGAGTTACGTGCCATACCAGTGCCGGCAGGGGAGGGCTAGAGGCAAAACACAGGCTTGCAGTGGAGTTAAGATCCAAGCTGAGCTCCTCTGTGGAATTTGTGGATGAATGCGACTGACCATGCCAGGGATCAGGATCGGGATTGTGTGTGAAGGTTTCTTGGTTTTAACTCTTGACTTCTGCCTTTATGGTGCCGGGAAGGGTATGCATTGGCGGTAATATTTAGTCCTTTTGGTTGTCGCTCCCGTGTCGATGGGCCGCCGCTTACATCGTTTGTTGGTTTGGTTGGTTGAGATGGATGGCTACCAGTTACCGTAGGTTCATATCAAACTGCGCGATACAATCCAGTACACATACCGGTACCATACATAAATACCATACCTTACAGCTTCCTGCTGTCTCTGCTGCTGCTTCCGCCGCCGCCGCTCCTACAGTATACACACGGAATTCGTCGATGTCTCTTAGCTCAATTACTGGTGCTTATATTTGCTCGGTCCTGGTAAATTTATTGGAACATCTTTTTTTCTTGCGTGGGACCAGTCCCCCCCATGGGCGATAATTTATACCTTCTAGACAGCACAAATTTGGATCCACAGTATGTACACCTTCTCTTCACCTGCCCGCCAAAGCTATCTCCACGGTTATCGTGCATTGAGACAACTCAATAAGTTAAGCAAATCCAAATTGACCACACATACAGACGCATAAACCTCGAATTTATCTACCGCTTATCGTCGCTCCATATGATACTCGAAAAGTAGTCACCTCCTCCCGGGCGTTGTCGTTGCTGTGAATAGAATTTCCCGACCTTAGTTTTGCACCCTCGAGCCCTACGTTCACCTCTCTACGACAACCGTCCACCTATCCACTCACCCACACCACTGCTACCACCCGACCACCCACACCCCTCCACCCAAGCCCTCCATTTATACTGCTCCCACTTCCACCCTCTCAATCCTCTTTCGTCCTTAATCAACTCCCTCTCTCGATTCCCGGTTTCCAACCAAGAGCCCTTCCGGTCGCAGCTTACTTCCTCCCTACATCTTAATTCATCCCTATCATCAAAATGGTTGTCCCGGATGCCTCCCTTGAGACTCTTGAGGAAGCCTCTATTGATAAGTGCACCTGTTCCGGGGTTTGCAAACGCAAAACAGACTTCGACAACCTTGTGGAAAAAATCTGTTTGGCCCTAGGACCCTCTTCTGGCATTGATAGCGACGAGGCCAATTGCGAGCACTTGATCAATCTCATGCGCCGTTATGCTTCTAAGGAGTCGGAATGGTCAAAGTACGCATTTGTCGATACTACTAGAAACTATACTAGAAATTTCGTGGACCATGGCAATGGAAAGGCCAATCTACTCGTCCTTGTCTGGAATCCCGGCAAGGGATCATTGATCCACGATCATGCAGACTCTCACTGTATTATGAAGGTTAGTGTTTGGAGCCAGCTTGTTGGTCAACTTAGTTTTTAACACAAGTCCTACAGATTTTGAAGGGTTCATTGGTGGAAACTTTGTTTGATATGCCCGCACCCGATGACGAAGCTAGGCCTTTGAAGCACAAGAGTTTCACCATCTACGGGGAGAACGAAGTGACCTATATTAGCAATAAAGTTAGAGCCTTTCTTTTGTCCCATTACTCACCCCACTAAGCCCGGGAAATTTATTAACCTAAAACCTTTAGATTGGTCTTCACAAGATTTCCAATGACGACCCTAATGAAATTGCTGTTTCTCTCCACCTTTATACTCCCCCGTGGCGTGAGGGCGAGAAGAGTAAGCTAACCTCCACCCACTTAATCTCCAATAACTAAGAGGTCCCTGCTTAACAATATTACCTAGCCGGTTGTTACTGTTTTGCTCCAACAACTGGAAAAAAGACACTCGTCAATATGAGCAACTATTACTCGGTACACGGGAAGAGGAATTAGAATCTTCCTTTCAATGTTGTTTTCAGGTTTGGGAATGTCCTTTTCCTTTTCTTTTCTTTTCTTCTCGAGGAGGTCCGGATATTGCCCTGTTCAGGACAATCTTTACCTGTATCTACTATTCTTCTTTTCCGGTTTTAGTTTTCATTTGATAAAGGTGTTTTCTTACTCAGCTCTCGCCCCTATTTTTACATTTCCAAGTCTTTAGTTAAGGCACGGTGTCAGACCTATGATTGGTTGATGCTCTGGTCACTAGCTTGACCAATTCTTCATTGATAAAGAAAAGTGTGGTTGCCGTGCATTGGTTGCGGTGTGAACTTGGGTTGGGTGAATGCACATTTCCTTAGTCAACGGCTTATCATAGCTGAATTTCACGGGATTCTATTTGCATGTTGCACGGCATATCACTCATGTTTGTTGTTGGTCGGGTTTGTAGAGTATTTTAACCGGAAGATCGAACAATGCTATGATAGTACTTTGAATTTGCAGTTCCTTGTAACGCGGATCCCGGTGAGATTTCAAAAGCACATTTCGGATCAGGACAACAGGCGATATGCAATCTGATTCAACACACCATTGACATCTAGCAAGAAATCTATCATTTCGCCAAATCACAAGTACAGTAACACGACATGGAAACGCAGTACATTACTTGTATATGGTACAGTGCAAGTACATAAGAGAGAGCCAATATTAATTCAACAAGGAAGAGTTAAGGAAAAAGCCCCAGCCAATTCCGTCCCCTCTCCCTCGATAGGGGCCGCCTCACCGTCCTCCTCGGACCTATGGTCTACCTGCTTTTCCTCCCCGTCTCCCTCCCCGTCTTCGGGCAGATATTCGCTCGTCACTTCCTCCTCCTCCTCCCATTCCATCGCTGTATCGCCTTCGGACTTCCACCCCCTATTGGGTTCCAAGTCGTTGGCATTGGTCTGACCATAGTGCCCACACCCAAACCTATTCAACTCCAACTGGCTCACCCCGCAGCGCGCCCAGGTCATATACCTCTCGGCAGGGGTATGCATCGCCGTCCACAAGAACATGATGCACCTCTCTATTGTAGCACGGATGACGATGCACTGGATGTAGGTGGTGTAACAGATGAGGTCGAGCGAGCCAGACCTGCTCAGGGACCTTGTCCCCTGCCAGTACTGTCCAAGAGGCAATACCGCGCCCATCCGCCCCTCCTGAAAGAAGGCCAGCACCCTACCAACGTCGTAGCAATTATCCAAGTGCACGATACACGCGTATCTAAACTCCGGCGATCCGTCCTCAGAAGCGTGCTCCAGGAAAGGGCTCTTAAGCGTGAAAGCGCCCAACTCCAGCATTCTCCCACCAAACAGCGCTAGCCCCATGAATATCCGGCGCAATTGACGGAGCGTACAGAGTCTGACGCTTGTAGCTTCGACACCAATGCGGACGTTGATCTCGTTGTAGTTCTCCAGATTGTCAGCCTCCGGGAAGGCCCTTTTTATCGCGCCCTCGACGAGGTTCAGGGTGCGGCAGGGTCGGGTCTCCAGTAGGAGGGGGATCACAACCACGAATGAGGCCGCGATTCCGTGCGCAGCTGACATGTTGTACATTACGAAGCTTTCTTGGGAGCGGTGATCGCAGCTTGCGTAGTACTTTTCGCAGTGCCGGTGAGGACCCGGGAGGAAGTACTTTCGTCCTATGTTCTCTGGTCGGGGCTTCAGACAGAAGTGGCTGGGTGGTTCGCGTCTCTTTGCCCAGGGCGCTGGGAGCAGGCGGTCGAAGCCTATTTCAATCTGGAGGTAGATGTACCCATCCTCCCGGATGTTTTGGGGTGGTGGATTTGGGGTTGGTGGAGATGGCGGGGGAGGAGTAGGATGAGGGGGAGGTGCAGATGTGGAAGGAGAACTAGGAGGTGGGGGCAGTGGTACGGGTGGGGAAGGATTGGTGACCGATCCATTGCGCCCACGCTGTCGGCGCCCTTTGGGTGGGATATGTGGTACAGGTGGTGGGGTTTTTGCGGACATATTTTGACCAGCGTAGAAGTCGAGGTGTATGCTAACTCGCAATCGGAGCTCGAGAATGGGTAAAATATGCAGGCTGTGCACGTTAAGAGAGACTGGAGTGATGAAAATAATTATATATTGGAGGATTGAACATTCTCCTAGGGAAGGGTAGTAGCTTCCTTTTTTTTTTTTGTAAGTGAGTGGTGGGTGGGCCGTTAGCAGGGGGAATGCATGGACTTAGGAGGTAGTGAGGATGACTGCAATGTTAAGGGAAAACCGGGGGTGACGTAGAAGTTCCAATGATACTAGGAGCATGTAAGGGCTTGGTGTAGTTGGTGAGTCTGGGGGATCTTGGGTGAGTGGGTTATGGGTACAGGCCTTGTACTTAAGCTTGATATCGAAGGTTAGGAAAACTCCAATAGGTGAGTGATCCTGCGAGGTGGGAAAATTATGAAGGCCGCGCGAAAAAGTAGCACTTGGTCAGAAGCTATACGGTAGTGGTGACGAGGATACCAATATCATATTTTTTTTTTATTTTTTTATTTTTTTTAAGATATCTAGCTTGTGGAACGCGTATGGAACGGGGTAGTTCTATTATATTACGGATAAGTCTTCAAGGTAGGTGACAGTCTGTGTTTACTGGGAATAGTCTCTAAGAACTAATCTATACCTAATTCAACGCCCTCAAGCGTACTGTATGGCCATGT